TTCGTCAAATTACTGCGATTGGACCGATTTTCAAAAGCTACAACTACTTCTTCGCTTTTGGCATAATAGTAATCTTGAGTGAAAATAACGTTCCAAGTTGTAGACGAGCCAAGATTAGCGGACAGACAGACAGATATAACATCCAAAAAACAACAGTTCATTTTCGAATTTTGTTGCTATTACAATACCTTCTCGCCACTAAGCGTTTGGAAGTAAAAATACCTGTGTCTTTGAAATCGAACAGAATATGGCTACAAATTGTTCAAATATCGTGCCTGTGTCTCAATTTTATAAAGCTTATTGCATCATTTCAATATTTTGCATAATTTTCTTCTAGCCTAGGTAAGAATTTAGAGCTATCTATAGAACGTTGCCACAAATTTCTCCGGCTTGCGGATTGTTGCGGAGGCGGAAGGAGTTCTGCCGTTTTCGCCACGCGCCCCTGAATAATCACAAAGAGGAGCACGAATTTTTAATCTTCCTGATAGTGAGTGATGGTGACGCACACTCAGCACTCTTTCTGTTGTGAAGATATTCGTTGTCTAAATTCCTGACATACTGCTGGTGCAAGTAATACAAGGTTCACCAGAAAGAACGTATGTTTTTCGAATGAGTACTACATCGAGTGGGCTGGTCCCGTGTTGGTGGGGAAGAACGTGTTGGGTAGTGGGATAAGTGCCGTTTCATTTGGCCCGATGGTTTGGAACGTTGAGCATCGTGAGTACACTGACCGGTGTGAAGTTGGCAGACAAAATTTAGCGGACAATTTGCCGAAGATACCCGAATGACCAGTGGCGTCGACATCCTCGATCAGACCTGTGATTGTGAAGGATACAGCTAACAGCTCGCACAATAAATATATATATATATATGCACGAGAATAAGCACCCCTATAGGAAGAATCATTTTCCACCCTAATTAAATAATTGGTAGGAACAGAGTTAACCCACAACCTTTCTTCGAGTTTTCACTTACCGATTACTGTATTGAAAGTAATTAATTGAGCTAAATAGCATATACTGAGAAAATCTGCTAAAGGGGTGCTAAGGAAAAAATATAATAAAACTTCATTTCACCCACAAAAAATGATTCCACAAAATGATTTATATCTCAAAAAAATACTCTATAACAGAGAAAATTCATGGCTAGGTGGCATGGTGTGAGAAAGCTTCTGAAAGGCTGGCAGATAAAAAAATATGCTAAAAAATTCATTTTCACCCCCAAGGAAATGATTCCCCAAAATCAGTTGTACCTCAAGAAATAGTCTATTATAGAGACAATTTATAGGCTAGGTGGCATGGTGTGGAGAAAGCTTCTGAAAGGGGCCGGCAGATAATAAATATGCTAAAAATTCATTTCACCCGCCAAGGAAATGATTCCCCAAAAGTAGTTGTACTCAAAAAAATACTCTATTATAGAGACTATTTATAGGCTAGGTGGCATGGTGTGAGAAAGCTTCTGAAAGGCTGCAGAATAAAAAAATAGCTAAAAAATTCATTTTCACCCCCAAGGAAATGATTCCCCAAAATCAGTTGTACCTCAAAGAAATACTCTATTATAGAGACAATTTATAGGCTAGGGTGCATGGTGTGAGAAAGCTTCTGAAAGGCTGGCAGATAAAAAAAATATGCTAAAAAATTAATTTTCACCCCAAGGAAATGATTCCCCAAAATCAGTTGTACCTCAAAAAGAATACTTTATTTATAGAGACAAATTTATAGGCTAGGTGGACATGGTGTGAGAAAGCTTCTGAAAGGCTGGCAGATAAAAAAATATGCTAAAAAAATTCATTTTCACCCCCAAGGAAATGATTCCCCAAAATCAGTTGTACCTCAAAAGAAATACCCTATTATAGAGACAATTTATAGGCTAGGTGACATGGTGTGAGAAAGCTCTGAAAGGCTGGCAGAGAAAAAAATATGCAAAAAATTCATTTTCACCCCCAAGGAAATGGTTCCCCCAAATCAGTTGTACCTCAAAAAAATACTCTATTACAAGAGACTACTTATAGGCTGGATGACATGGTGTGAGAAAAGCTTCTGAAAGGCTGGCAGATAAAAAATATGCTAAAAATTCATTTTCACCCCCAAGAAATGAATCCCCAAAATCAGTTGTACCTCAAAGAAATACTCTATATAGAGACAATTTATACGCTAGGTAGCATGGTGTGAGAAAGCCTTCTGAAACGCTGGCAGATAAAAAAATAGGCTAAAAAATTCATTTCACCCCCAAGGAAATGAATCCCCAAAATCAGTTGTACCTCAAAGAAATACTCTATTATAGAGACAATTTATAGGCTAGGTGACATGGTGTGAGAAAGCTTCTGAAAGCTGGCAGATAAAAAAATATGCTAAAAAATTCATTTTCACCCCCAAGGAAATGATTCCTCCCCAAAATCAGTTTGTACCTCAAAAGAATACCTATTATAGAGACAATTTATAGGCTAGGTTAGCATGGTGTGAGAAAGCTTCTGAAAGGCTGGCAGATAAAAAAATATGCTAAAAAATTCATTTTCACCCCCAAGGAAATGAATCCCCAAAATCAGTTGTACCTCAAAAAATACTCTATTATAGAGACAATTTATAGGCTAGGTGACATGGTGTGAGAAAGCTTCTGAAACGCTGGCAGATAAAAAAATATGCTAAAAAATTCATTTTCACCCCCAAGGAAATGAATCCCCAAAATCAGTTGTACCTCAAAGAAATACTCTATTATAGAGACAATTTATAGGCTAGGTGACATGGTGTGAGAAAGCTTCTGAAAGCTGGCAGATAAAAAAATATGCTAAAAAATTCATTTTCACCCCCAAGGAAATGAATCCCCAAAATCAGTTGTACCTCAAAGAAATACTCTATTATAGAGACAATTTATAGGCTAGGTGACATGGTGTGAGAAAGCTTCTGAAAGGCTGGCAGATAAAAAAATATGCTAAAAAATTTTCATTCACCCCAAGGAAATGATCCCCAAAATCAGTTGTACCTCAAAAGAAATACTCTATTATAGAGACAATTTATAGGCTAGGTGACATGGTGTGAGAAAGCTTCTGAAAGGCTGGCAGATAAAAAAATATGCTAAAAAATTCATTTTCACCCCCCAGAGGAAATGATTCCCCAAAATCAGTTGTACCTCAAAAGAATACTCTATTATAGAGACATTTTATAGGCTAGGATGACATGGTGTGAGAAAGCTTCTGAAAGGCTGGCAGATAAAAAAATATGCTAAAAAAATTAATTTTCACCCCCCAAGGAAATGAATCCCCAAAATCAGTTGTACCTCAAAGAAATACTCTATTATAGAGACAATTTATAGGCTAGGTGACATGGTGTGAGAAAGCTTCTGAAAGGCTGGCAGATAAAAAAATATGCTAAAAAATTAATTTTCACCCCCAAGGAAATGATCCCCAAAATCAGTTGTACCTCAAAAGAATACCTATTATAGAGACAATTTATAGGCTAGGTGACATGGTGTGAGAAAGCTTCTGAAAGGCTGGCAGATAACAAATATGCTAAAAAATTCATTTACCCCCAAGGTAATGATTCCTCCCCAAAATCAGTTTACCTCAAAAGAATACTCTATTAAGAGAATACTTATAGGCTAGGATGGACATGGTGTGGAGGAGAAAGCTTTGAAAGGCTAACAGATAAAAAAATATGCTAAAAAAGTCATTTTCACCCCCAAGGAAATGAGTCCCCAAAATCAGTTGTTACCTCTAAGAAATACTCATAGTACGAGACTACTTATAGGCTTAGGATGACATGGTGTGAGGAAAGCTTCTGAAGGCTGGCAGATAAAAAATATGCTAAAAAATAATTTTCACCCCCAAGGAAAATGATCCCCAAAATCAGTTGTACCTCAAAGAAATACTCTATTATAGAGACAATTTATAGGCTAGGTGGCATGGTGTGAGAAAGCTTCTGAAAGGCTGGCAGATAAAAAAATGCTAAAAAATTCATTTTCACCCCCAAGGAAATGAATCCCCAAAATCAGTTGTACCTCAAAAAATACTCTATTATAGAGACAATTTATAGGCTAGGTGACATGGTGTGAGAAAGCTTCTGAAAGGCTGGCAGATAAAAAAATATGCTAAAAAATTCATTTTCACCCCCAAGGAAATGATCCCCAAAATCAGTTGTACCTCAAAAAATACTCTATTATAGAGACAATTTAGGCTAGGTGACATGGTGTGAGAAAGCTTCTGAAAGGCTGGCAGATAAAAAAATATGCTAAAAAAATTTTCACCCCCAAGGAAATGAATCCCCAAAATCAGTTGTACCTCAAAGAAATACTCTATTATAGAGACAATTTATAGGCTAGGTGGCATGGTGTGAGAAAGCTTCTGAAAGGCTGGCAGATAAAAAAATATGCTAAAAAATTCATTTTCACCCCCAAGGAAATGATCCCCAAAATCAGTTGTACCTCAAAAAATACTCTATAGAGACAATTTAGGCTAGGTGACATGGTGTGAGAAAGCTTCTGAAAGGCTGGCAGATAAAAAAATAT